AAGAAATGGCAGGAAAAAGTGTATATGTGAATCGCTACTAATTTCCCACCCTTTCTTTTGTAATGCAAAAAAAAGAAAACTCCTATTTGGAAACTGGGATGAATGGAAGAGCACCAAAGTCAGTCCCCTTAATTACAATAAATGCCTCAAGGATTATTCAAACATAGATCAAAGTCAGGCACTTTTAATTTCAAATATCTTCCCTTTTTTATGGTGGAGAATAAAATCAAAGCTACAGAAATACTAGCAACTTGTACTCAAAATTCTAAATGTCTGCTAACTGCCTTTTCTGGGAATCTAGTGGTTATTATGAGCTTTGCTAGGCATTCCCACTAAAAAGGTGAAATACTGAAATATATCTAGAAAAAGACACTACATTCAGAGAGCATAGCTGAATTCTTTATAGCTCAGAAAAAGTAAACTTGGCCTTGATCAACTGAAGCCCAGATCATGCCATTCCAGGAGGGAAAGTAAGCAAGCCTGTAAGCAAAATAATTGAGGTAAGTATGGAACTTTTCATCCCTCTTAGTTGCACCTCAACTCTCTACCTCACTTTACATAGATAAATTATGTGACCATTTTAATAACCAGAACTTAAAGTCTTAAATCTCTACTTCATTTTTTTTACTTTATAAAATATGTATTATTTTTTAAATTATTTTTTTCAGTTACACTTTACTTTCAATATTATTTTTTATTAGTTTCAGATGTCCAGAATTCTGGTTAGACAATCATATTTCTAGTGCCCAACTGTCACCATACATAGTTATTACAATTTTATTGAATGTATTTCCTATGCTACACTTTACATCCCAATGACTATTTTGTAACTACCAATCTGTACTTCACAGTATCTTGAATGACTTCAATGATCTCCCTTGCAAAAGTTATTCAAGACAACTTTCAGCCTGGAAAGAAAGAAGAAGAAAACATCATATGATAAATTTGACATCTTGACTGATAGTTTATATTATCCAAAGCCTAAAAAAATTTTCCTCAATTCCTATAAAATTAAAGTTAGCTAAAATGTAAGCCAAATGGATTTTGCCAGTATGTCTACCTAATACAACTCAGCATGTTTGCCTAACACAATTCAGTATAAAAACACAGAGTAGGTTGTAATTAAAAATACTGAACCTAAGCACCCTACGTTCTGCTGCTTTTATTAGGAGGAAAGAAAAAAGCTTAGAGAAATTGATTTCTGGAAAAAGTAATGGGATAAAACATCCTAAAATCAATGTATCAAAATATGCCTGTGCCCACTTTCAATGTACATGTTATCTGCTATTTAAATCTGAAGGGGCATCTTTGCCAACTGTCTCTCCTAATCTAACAACTATCTGCCAAAAAGAAAAAAAGAAAAAAAAAGAAAAGGAAACAAGATATTTAGTGGCAAGGACAAACTCACCAAGGGGCAACTAATACTTCTTCTATTTTATTACAAAAAGTCGCAAGTTGTAGATTTTGCACAATTCCCAGCACTGTAGTTTATCTCTCTCTGATGCTCAGCATTCCAAAAGTGGCAAAGTCCTGACTTATTCTATGAATACCTCCATGTCTTCTATATATTCAGGGATTGGCAAAAGTAGGTTCACAGTTGTGAGTACATGAACTAGTTTATCCTTGTACTATAAGTTAATTACTATAAACCTACTTTTGCCCATCATTGTATTTTAAACATTTAGCCAATTTGATGGCATGCTTACTTTTTAAGGGGAGACAGCACTGTCTGTTCTCTCTTTCTTGAGACTGCTTTAAATTGGGGGAAATATGGGTATATTATTTTGTCAAAATACAAATATTAGGTATAAACTACCTTGTCAACTAAAACCATTAAAAATTATGGTAATTATTTCTACTATATTTTTATCTCTATTAGTACTATTTAAAGAATGAAAAAAATAATACTTGATTGAATAGGCCAGTGTTCAGGATGTCATGGGTTAAAGCAGCATAGCCATGTAACTTCACAGACTGAATAAAGGTACAGAAAAACTCCTTCATGAGGAACAGAATTTCCTCCTGAGAGATTAATGGTGTTATTGAAATAAAATTACTTCAAATAATAACAATAATTACATCAGCACTAGCTACCATTTATTGAGAACAGCTAAAGTTTATTGGATGCTTACCATATGCCAGGTACTGTACTAAGGAATGTGTACATTTAGCCTCTTGCTAACACATAAGGCAGATATTATCATTATCTCTATTTTAAAGATGAAGAAATTGAGGCTTAGTTCTGGCCAGGTAGCTCAGTTAGTCAGAGAGTGGTCCCAATAAGCCAAGGTTGTAGATTTGATACCTGGTCAGGGCACATTCAAAAATCAACCAATCAACGTATAAATAAGTGGAACAAATCATTCTTTCTCTCTATATATCTATCTCTCCTTCCTCTTTTTCTAAAAATTATTTTTTTATAAAAAGAAACTGACACTTAAGTAACATTTCTAAGACCACACATCTGGTAAGTGGTCAAATACAGTGCTTTCTGACTTGTAAAGTATTTCATACATTTAATAAGTATTTCATATCCATCCTGTCAATGCTCATAGCACCTCTATCTCACTGCCTGTTTGAACACTTCTAGGGACACAGAAAAAATAGTGATGCACTTCAGAGCCCCTGAAATATATTGTCTGACACACCTGGACTCAATCCTTCTTTCAGAGTGTATTGGCTATGTGACCTTGGGCAAATGACTCAACCTCTCTGAGATTCATTTTCTTTGCCTGCACAGTTGGTTTCATAGTTCAATCTTGCTTTCTCCACAGTGTCTCTGTTCCTAAGATTATGCACATGAAGGTGTTTTGTTAATTGCAAAGTGGTGAGAATAGAAATTCTCAACATGAGGTATACAAATGGGCCATGAGAAGTTGAACCCCTTGACATTTCCTGCAAACTTGGCTTGTATGTGCACATATGCATATTTTCCTGGGAAGACTGGCCACATTTTTCATCAGATTGCTTCAAATAAGGTTTAAAAACTGCTACAGTATATAAATACTCGTCTTCAGGTGACCAGAGAAGTGTTTCCTGTACTGATACCATTCTGTCTCCCTACAGTTTATTTTTTTTATACCTACTTCATTTTATGCAAGCAACTATGGCAAACAAGCACATTACCATTTCCACATGCCATCCTTCCAAAGACTTAACAGTTTTCTCTCCTCATCTCCACCTCCAAGCCTTAGCCACTTATTCACTCATTTATTCATCCAACAGGTATTAAATGCCAAATTTAAGCATAAACACTTCACTGGGTTCTAGGGATAAAGCAGAGAACAGTAGCACACCATACCTCATTTAACTTGGGAGTCTAGTGGAGAAGACGGATACATTTTGGTCTTAAAAGTGGCAAGAGAGTGTTAGGAATAAATGTAATCCCTACAGATGATCAACATATCTTTTTCATTAAGAGAATGGTGGAATCCTTCTACAACCCAGTAACTTTTCCCCCCAATGTACTTTGTCTAGATGTTCATTTTAAAATAAATCAGAAAAAAAACAGGTGCATTATGATCAGCATAGCAAGCATCATCCCCATAATTACAGATGCTAAACTTCAATTAATACAGCCTAAAATCAAATCACTATATTTTCTAAATCCTAAGGTTCCTTAGTTTTATATATATATATATATGTAAACTCAGGATTTAGAAAATATAGTGATTTGATATATATATCTGCATATACAGGGTGTTCCAAAAATGTATACATACTGTAATAGCTGATAGCTCAGATTTGAAAAATAAATGTATTTTTAAACATTTAAAATGTAATCTTTTTATTTTATATTAGCCCTAAAAGCACTTGAATATTTGTAAATCATAGTAACCATTAACAGAGAGTGATAAAGTCAGCAATCTGTGGAACAAAATAGGTTTTCAATTTTCTTTTTAAACAATGCCTATGGTGTGATATCAAAATTAGAAAATGACATCTTCATTAGGCATGTAATTAATTTACAGTATGTGTTGACTTCTCTATATCACACCAGTTTAACAGAGGGTTAAATCCCAAACACAAAACAACTAAAAGAGTGTAATGCCCGTACCTAATACTTCTTAAAGTGGATTTGGACTAGTCACCACTTCATCACATTCTATTTCATTTTATTGTCTTTTCATGAAAAGGAAATTCTCTCAACTCATTGGTAACATCTCTATACATATAACCTCCTGACTCCAGAGCTATAATTTGGGCTTTGACTGCCACTCCTGCTATTCAACAGTCATCTTCTTTATATGATGAAGAGCATTTTTCTTCAGGTGAGCCTATCTGTAAGAGCCATTTTAGCTTTAGTCAATTCCTGCTGAAGAGATTCATTCTTTTCCATGAGCTGTTCCCAAGTGAAGTTGAAGGAGCACTCAGAAGAGTGAACCAACTGAGAAGGCCAAGGCGCCTCTGGACTTCGTCTGAGTGACTTTAGTGACACTGTGCTGTTTCTTCAGAACATACTTCCCACTGGAAAGCAGAAATGATTCACTTGTGACATTTTCTTTCACATCATTCCCAGTATTAAGCATCTGAGAATCTCTTATATGAAAAGAGCCATCATGCTGAAACCGGTTTGGCTTAGTGCTAGACTGAAGGGTCCCAGGTTTGATTCTGGTCAAGGGCATATACCTGAGTTGCAGGCACATCCCCAGTAGAGGGTGTGCAGGAGGCAGCTGGTCGATGTTTCTCTCTCATCATCGATGTTTCTAGCTCTCTATATCTCTCCCTTCCTCTCTGTAAAAAGTCAATAAAATATATTTTAAAAAAAGAAAAAAGAAAAAAAGAGCCATTGTCATTTCTCTCTACCACAAGATTATCAATGTGAATGGCTAATGGAGCTGGTTCAAACTCATTGTGTTACCATGAGGATTCTCATCTTTTAAATTTATTTTAAAACTTGTATCTTCATTGGCATCACTGTTGAGTATTCATAAGGGAAGATGTAAGAAACTCAGTGCTAAAGTTTTCTATATGGCATTGCAGAAATACTTTTTTTTCCCCTGCAAGCAAAGAGTGTATTACAGCACCAGGCCCACTTTCAAATCTCAGAATAATCTCAGGAGAGGATTTGGAATGAATAACAGCTTTATGATCAGAACCTACTGAAAGTGAAAGATTGGATATGTAATGCTAAAGACTGATATTACCTAACTCCATGGTAGGCAAACTGTGGCTCATGAGCCACATGCAGCTCTTTGGCTCCTGGAGTATGGCTCTTCTACAAAATACCATGGCCTGGGAGAGTCTCTTTAGAAGAATTGGCGTTAGAAGTTTAAGTTTAAAAAAAATTGACTCTCAAGAGAAATTTTAATCATTGTATTGTTGATATTTGGCTCTGTTGACTAATGAGTTTGCCGACCACTGGCCTAACTGATCTGGTGTCACTGGAAGACATTTCTGTATCTTCCCCTCGGATGTGAATTTCCCCATTAACACCAGTAATTTTAAACATCACAACTGAGATCAGGCCATTATGGTTTTTTTGAGCATTTTCTGAATTTATACTGATGGCATCTGGAGAGGTTTCACCATAATTATGTAGGTTTGCAGTGGCATTTGCACTATCTGCTGGGTTTTGATAATTTGTACTTAAATTCTTTCTAATACCTTTTCACAAAAAACTATCACTTCCAGCACTAACAACTGTTCTTCCAATATCATGCTGTCAAGTGAAATGGTATCCAATGAGGTTTGTGAGGAGCTTCTCTTTATGTTCTTACTAGAAGCCTGGTGCATAAAATTCATGCATTCGGGGGAGAGGGCCTCCCTCAGCCTGGCCTGGGCCTTCTTGTAGTCCAGGAGCTCTCAAGGGAAGTCCCGCTGATGGGGAACAGGCCTGAGCCATCAGTTGGACATCCTTAGTGCTGCCACAGAGGAGGGAGAGGCTCCTACCATTGCCGCTGTTCTCGCCACTTAAAGATGACTGTGATTTAAGTGTTCTCACTGTGAGTGCTTCTTCTTTACTGAATTCTAGGTTCTTAGAGAATGAAGCTGTTTCTGGTAGCAAATCTTCAGCTTTAAAAATCAACTTTATGGTTTTGAAAATGAAATGTATTTTATTAAACACTGCCTTTATAATTATTCACAGTGTATGTATACATTTTGGGGGGACACCCTATATTTAATGTGAATCATTTTATCTTTTCAACAGCAATCATTTTAGATCAAGGATGCAAGTTATCAGCAATGAATGGTATCTTGACATGGTGGAAATATGGGAAATGCACAATCTTATCTTATACTCTTGTCTCATATATAGTGAAGTATGAACTCTTTAAAATGTTGGACAAGACCCTCCATAATTGTGCCTCTGCCCATGGCCCCAGTCTCAATTCTTACCATACGCTTACTGTCTTGAGCCCTATGCTCCCGGCCTTTCAATTTGCATTCTGGTGCCAAATGAACAAGTAGTTTCAGTTATATAACAGCTATCTTATTACTATATCTTCCCCCAACTAAACTGCGAGAATGTCCAGGGCACAACTAAGCTCCCTAACTCTAACACATAGCATAGTTCCCCCAATATAAGTGTAGTAACATTTGATGGAATACATTAATTCATGGGCTTCCTATGGGATAAAACCCTGAGCCCTTTTCACATGGGTTGCTAAGTACATCTCTTCCATCCTATACTTGTGCAATTGATTTCAAAATCTACCTCAGATACCACCCTGTCTACAAAGTCTTCCCTAATGATCCCAGTCAGAAAAGATTTCTCTCTCCTCTGAATTCACTCTTGACACTTTCTATGAGGCTTCAACAATAGCTCAGCAAGCAGAAGTAAGTTTCACTAGAATAGCGTTTCTTAGCTGTTCTGTGAACAAGTCACATTGACAAATATTGTATTTTAGACAGTATACTTAAAGTGATTAAACAACTCAAAATAGCCCAATGCATGTGGATGGCAATGGCCTCAAGTGACTATTTGTCTGTATTTAAGAATGCATACACAATTATTGCACACTTATGTAGTTTTTTGTTTAGAACTGTTCACTACCTTGATATTTATGCTCTCTCAAATACTTTTTAGGCCAAATTCTTACATTTCCTAGGTATCACACTATCTTTCCTTGGTGCTGAAATTATGTTCGACCTCTTACTTATACACATGACAAAGGGTACTTCCAACTCCCCACTTATGCAGTTCATGCCTCATTTGGCAGACTTCTCCTAACAGTGTTGAACCTCAGCCATAGCAAAAAAAATCATATGTTGATCAAAATATAATCATGTAGCTGGAAAAAAAAAAAAAAACTTATGATACTCCAGGATGCCGAGGCACTCTGGTTAAGATTCAGTGAGACAGAGAATTTATAGCTAGTTTGAAGAGGAATAATGCCACTGAATTCAACAGGTTTAGAACATGTGCCTTGCTCACACACTTGGGCATGTGCTTCCCAGCTTCCAAAATCATATGCAGTCATGGTATCCCGTGACTGACCTATCTTAATTCTCTGAGTTAAACCCAAGCATCAGGGTGGTCATATGGTAGAAGGAGCCTTAAAGAACCAGTTAGTACTAGCCTGGACTCTCTGGCTCAGAGCATCAGTATTAGTCCCCTCATCTGTTGAGTGACATGATCTTGAAGGGTGTTCCTTGTTTGGACAGAGGAAATGTCAGAGACTTCTGTTGTTCATCTTCTATATTTCCATATCCTAGTGAAAGGCTGGGCCCAAAAACATGCATGATGAATAGATAAATCAGGTGATTTGTGTGTGTGTTTTAAACCTTATTTTGCTTTAAAGAAACATGTGTCTTTGGCATTAACAACTGATCAATTCAATCTTTCTTTGTGAACATGTCAGGGACAAGGGATTCATTCAAGGCCAGCTTAGATTAGTGTAGTTCAGGCCTTATGAAGGACTCACACAGACTCAGCTAATTTGAAATGGTGTCATCTCACCACTGATCAAGGAATCCTTTTATTCTTCAAGGTCACAGCAGAACAGGAAGCTTTCTATGAAAGTCCTGAGTAGACCAATGAAATACCATTTAAAATTGACAAATTCAGAAATCCATGGGTTTGGAAAGGCTGTGAAATAGGGAATTATCTAAAAATGACCAAAGAAATGTTATTTGTGACTTCAATAACCCTAAGTGGGGGTAAAGATAGCATAAAAGAGACTCTAGAAGAACATTGAAGAACAAATTACTCTGGCCCTATTTTCAGCTAAATATCAGCTTAAAGTTATCAGGGAAGAGTTTTAATTTTGTGATAGCTAGAATGGGGCTTTCAGTTTTACTCAAACAAGAAAAATGTTTTGTTTTGTTTTTAAACAAGGTAGAATCATTCAACTTATCTACCTGTCTCTGAAAATAAAGCAAAACAAAACAAAACAAAAAAACAACAACACAGTTCTGGGGTTATTATTTATGGGGACTTCTTATTCAAGGCCAGTGTGCTTGGGCAGGAAGAATAAAATATGCTACCTGATGACCAAGTCACTGAGGAGGCCAGAGACTTGATTCACTTTCTGGCTTTGCCACCCATTGTCCTACACATCCTGACAATGTGACCATGTTCCTTCCTATAGTAGCAATATGAAAATTGATAACTCCTCCCCTAGGTCAAGAGGAGTTTGTAAGATATGACCTTTTATAAGAAAAACACTTAGATTCCCTTTATTTTATTTTATTATATATTTCTATTGATTTCAGAGAGGAAGGGCAAGGGAGAGAAAGATAGAAACATCAATGATAAGAAATAACCATTGATTGGCTGCCTTCTGCATGCCCCACACTGGGGATCAAGCCCGTCACCTGGGCATGTGCCCGGAATGAGAATCAAACCATGACCTCCTGGTAGAAACTCAGCCACTGAGCCACGCTGGCCGGGCCATTTAGATTCCTTTTAGGTGCACGCTTGACAAAAAAGATATGTCCTGAGAATTCTGGTAAAATGAAACAGCAACACCTGCAACTTTACAGATGACCAGTTTCAAATGTAAAATTCTCAAATTCCTGGGAGTGCTTAGTCAGAATGTGGCATGGAGGGGAGCACCAGTCCATTGTTCCCAGACTCCTCCTCTTCTCTTTCCACTCTTACCCAAACTCTCCACTTAAATGAGGATTTTCATGTACTTCATATGTAGACTCTGGCTTGCATGTTCAAACTTCAACTATTATGACCCAACAATCCTAATTCTAGGTAAATTACACATGAGAATCGAAAACATATGTCCACACAAAAAATGTATACATGAATATATATATAGCAGCACTCTTCATAATAGCCAAAAGGTTGAAACAACACACAAATGTCCAACAACTCTTGGTTAGATAAACAAAAATATGGTATATATTGTAGCAATATAATGTAATATTATTCAGCTATTAAAAGGAATGAAGTACTGATGCATGCTACATCATGGATTCATCTTGAAACATGCTAAATGAAAGAAGCCAGCCACAAAAGACCACATGTTGTATGATTCCATTTATGTGAAATATCCAGAATAGCCAAAACTATTGAGACACAAACCAGATCAGTGGTTGGCAGGGATTGGGGGAGAAGACATTAGGAGATGACTATTTAACTAGCATGGGGTTTCCATCTGTGGTGATAAAATAGTTCTGGAACTAGGTAGTGGTGATGGTAGTTTAACATTGTGAATATACTAAATGCTTGTCTTTGTCTCTTTTGGTAGTTATAACAAAACATCTCAGATTCTAGAGGCTAGAAGTTCAAGATTAAGGCATCAGCATGGTTGTCTTTTCCTAAAAGCCCTCTTCTTAGTTCATAGCTTGCATCTTCTCACTGTGCCCTCACATAGTAGAAGGGCCTAGGGACCTCTCCAGAGCTTTTTTGGTAAGGCGCTATTTCAATTCATAGAACTCAATCCTCATGACCTGATCAGCTCCCAAAGACCTCACCCCCAAACCATCATCTTGGGAGATTTAGATTTCAATATTTTGAGGGATACATTCAGACCATAACAATATCACTGTTTTTTTTTCCTTCACTTTAAAATGGTTAAAATAGTAAATTTTCTGTTATTTGTATTTTAACACAATAAAGGAAAATGATCTCAAACTAATTTACACAAAAGTGTTGATGTCCAATAACCAATAACTTACATGTTTAAAATTTTAACATATGGAAAAAGTAGCTAACATTTGACTTTAGAGAATGTTTCTTAGCACTAACACAGTTTTCATCCTCTGGAGCTTTTGATTGTGCTTGACATTAGATGGTTCATTTAAGATGTGGCTTTTATCTTTCTCATATCCCTGTAACTAATACTTTTTTTAAAAAATATGATTGGGCAATCACTAATGAATTATAAGTAAATTATACATACAATGCCCTATTTATCATTTCCTCATGGAGATAATTTATAAGTCCTTGAAAATTTAGTAGATTTAAAAGAAAAATATTATTTCAAATAAATACTTTCTCTGCTCTGGTTTAAAAATAAAGTCCAATATGATTTATGAAATGTTATTTCAGCGAGGTATTGTGATTTCTGAAATAATGAAGTGTAGTACTTGAAAATCACATTTAATTTACTCTGAGGGAAACAAGCTAATGCTGTGTGAGGTTGCTGGGGAAACAGAAAAGCTTCTTTAGGTCAGTGTTGTAGCAGAGAAGTAAGCTGATATTTCACAATTTACTCATGGCCATAGCTCTAAACTCTTTCCTGAATTTTAGCAACATATTCTTAATTTTACATTAAGTATTCACATACCTCTTTAATGTAGTCTTATTTTTTATAGATGATGAAGATTTGTAAAGCCAAAAAGAGAGAGAGAGAGAGAGAGAGAATTTAAGCTGCTCTTTATCACAATCCTTGTACATTTTAAGTTATTTTCCTAAAGCTCAATTCAATAAAAAAAAAAAAAAATTATATCGGGTTTCAGCACTAGAGAAGCTCCTTTTGGGCAATGGAAGCCTATTTATCATTAAACTTTTAGATGAAATAAAATAAGGGCCCTGAGCATACAATCTCTCTAATTATTCAGATAATCCACAAAAGCCCTGATTTATGCTAAATACTTAGCTTTAATTAGCCAGTGGCTACATAAAGGAGGGATGAGTCTTAAGATGAGTGTTGGAAAAAGGACAATGTGACAGGCACTATTAGTTGCTTTCCCAACATCCATTTTCCTCTCCCTTTCTCCTATCAGGCAGAACTACCTCTCACTATAGAAGCTGGATATGCCGGATACCAATATCCGAATATTCTCTTGCACTTAAGAAATTAGTATGTGACTCTCACTTCTTTGGCCAGTGGAACATGAGGGAATTTGGTTAGGGGAAGGTTTTTCTTCATAATTAAAAGAAAAATGAAAATAAATGCCTCCTCTTCCTCTTCCTCTCATGTGTTTTGTTTTGTTTTTCTGCATATGCTATCTGGAGCTGCTGCAGCCATCTTGCAAACAAGAGGGGGAGACATTATAAGACTGAGGATGCTGAGGATGACAGGGCAGAAAGACAGAAGAAAGTCATAGCTCTGATGAGAATACTGAACCACTGCACTAAATAATCCTAAAACCAACCTCATCTGGTTCTGAGATAATAAATTGTCCTCAATGTTTCAGCCACTTTTATTTCTGTATTCTGTTAATTTAGCCAAAAAGATCATATATGTTAAAAACATGATTGACTTTTCCTGTATATTCTCCAGAGTCACCAAATGGAATTTTTCATGAATAAGGACTGCAAATCAAAATGTTAGAGCTTGCGTGTTTAAAAATATATGGAATTTAATGTTGATGGGAGAATCATCTGTGGGATTTGTTTTCCCAAACCACACACATCTTCTCACATCCACACAAGTACATAATAGCTGCTGTCGTGAGATACTTCACTGATGAGAGAGAAAGACTGAGAATGAATCATGATCATCATATCTACTTCCATGCTTTCATTTTACAGATATGGAAATAAAGGTCACCCAAACCAGTCCCTATAAAGAGAAAAAAAATACTGAGTTTTACAGGAGGGAAAGAGCACATCATCACCAAAGGATGGACAAAACCAACTGCACGGACAGGCACTGGACCCAGACACATTAGTTAATGTTCTTCTGAGAATATCTATACACAGAATGCCCCAATGGCGTCCTTTGTCTTCTTATCAAGACCAAACTCCATTGCCTGCCATCCAAGGTCCTTTGCAGCCTGGCTTCTATCTGAAAGTCTTGTTGAAGTTCTCCCTACTCTCACCATTCCCTTGCTCATTAATGTTCCCTGAACATGCCAGGATCACCTAGTCAGCCCCCTCCCCAACATTGAAAGCCCTCAGTTTTTATCTATTAGCTTTCAAAAATCCCATCTATCCTTCAAGGTGTCACATAAACATCATTGCATGTGTCATTTGATGGTGACAGCAACAAATGAGTCCTATAATCTCTCCCTTTACACATGTACAACATAGTACTTTTCTCAAAACTTCAATTAAGTTATAAAAATAAAATGGAAAGGATATTAAGTAAAATGGAGTCAAGTGTAGTTGTTATCAAGTTACCTAATAATATAGCATAACACATTTTATATCTCTCTAATTTTAAGTACATAAAAAAAAGACTCAGAACAAACTGAATTGTTTGGTTATATCGTATAGTCAAAACTTGTAGCCAAATTATAGGGAGGAAATAAAGTGAAAATGGCAGGGCAGCTGAAACTGCGGATTTATATTTTGCCCACTGCCTCATTTTACATATTGGGAAACTGAGGTCAAAAAAGGAAATGCGGTTAACTCTTCATCTAGTGACCTTTACATTTTGTACACAAAGGTGGAATTTAGAAGCTAAAAATAATAGCTATCTACAAATCTTTTAAAAATATATATTTTATTGATTTTTTACAGAGAGGAAGAGAGAGGGATAGAGAATCAGATACATCAACCAGCTGCCTCCTGCACACCCCCACTGGAGATGTGCCCACAACCAAGGTACATGCCCCCAACCGAAATCGAACCTGGGACCTTTCAGTCTGAAGGCCAGCGTTCTATCCACTGAGCCAAACCGGTTTCGGCAGCTATCTACAAATCTTAATACTTGTCACTGCTCCAACTATTTAAACCCATCATGCTAGGGCCAAATGCATTGCATCCCAGAGCCTTGAGCCTTGATTCTTTTTCCTAACCTAATTTTTCCAGGAACTTTCTTATTATCATCTATTCCTCATACTTTAAAAACTATCAGCACCAACATAAAAATAAGACATAATTCTACTGTCAAACAAATAAAATTTCAAGTACAAAACAGTTAATGACAGTGAACAAATGAATATTCATGGGTCTCTAAGTGATTTAAAACTCCAAGCATTATGGGAGCTAACACAAAGTGATGATATTCTGATTTCAGTCTTGAATAGGATACATTTAAATTATACAACTAAAAGTTGTATTGCTTTGCAGAAAATTTGCTCTACTAAGAATCAAGAAATTGATTCATTTCTGGATTCCTGTGTCAGCTCAACTTATGGCTTGTTTATGACTTTAACAGTTCTCCTTTTATAAAAAGAAAAAAGAGGATTGGTCTAGATCGATGTTTACCAAATTAGGCTTTGCAGATTTATTAGGGAAGATGGTTTGTCTGTGATTATTAGAATATTCTAATTTTGTGTTTTCATTTCTATGATTATTTTAAAGTGTCCAAGGTGCATTCTTATAATCAAGGACTGCTATGTTATTTTTCTGCCCACTAATGTTTTTATGTTATCAGTTTAATGAAAGCCAAGTAGAATGTTGTTGTAATTGTTAAAAATCAGACCAAAAAACCTACAAAGGTATACATGTTTAGACAGAAAATGTTTTCCTATCAAACAAAGGCCCTGTATATGACACAGTTGTCTTTTTCAGACCAGTAGAAAGAAGTGGGAGAAGGGAATTATCTCAAGTGTTTTATGTATAACAAGTTATACTTAGTTTATATGTATTATTACTTTAAATATATATATTTATATATGTAAAAATATTACATGTTACATTACACTATTTATTTTATTACATTCTTGTTCTATTAGCATTCTACAAATAATTTAAGTCCACACTGGGATTAGTAAGAATATTTTCCCCTTTAAAAATGCTTTCTACAATACTCAATTGAGAAAAACAGGCTTAAATGATTTATCAGTCCCTTGTGGCTGTGACATCCCATGTATCTATTATAACTGATTCAGAGATCTTATTTATAGAACCCAAGTGAATTATACTAGAGAATTAAACAATATCTAATGAGCATTCTTCCTTTTTGATATGTCACCTAAGAATGACTTTCCTAAATTTTCCAATTAAAGACAATACGTCAAATTAAAAACCAGTATCAAGGGAAATAACTTTGCTATGGACTGTCCAGCTTGCTGGGGTTGGTTGAAATTTCTTTAGCAATCATTTCTGTGGTATTTTTCATGAAGGACAAATGCCTGACACACTGTACCTGGCACAGAAAGCATTAAAGAGGTTGAGAAGGAAGCAAGATGCTTCCCCTCCCTATGTCAACATATGCAATGCTATCTCACAAAGTTTATTTTTGTTAAATGTAAATGAAATACTAAATAGAAACCATTGAAGAAATGATGTTTGCAAATTACTCAGTTATTCATGTGGGCAAGAATGTGTCTTGCTCTTTTCCTCCTCATTCGTCACACAGGGACTCCCCCCTCCAGTCTGACTACATCCTTGAAGAGTAATATTTTTTATAATGTTCTTATAAGTGATTGCTTGCAGCATCTTATAGTCTTATCTCAGCTTTTGCAGCTTCTCATTAATATTCTGTACATATGGAAGAGTTTTCTATATCATTGTCCATTAACAAGGAGAATAATCACTCATTCAGTTATCAAGCCGTCAGCAAAGACCTGGCCTTGCGCCCTTAGTGCAAAGAATCATGGGATATCAAGAAGGTTAAATGTGGTTGACATTATGATAGTTACATTTTTTTAATATAATTAGAGTTCTAAAACCAGGTTGATCAAAGATAAGCAAAGAAGTACTAAAGTCTTTTAGGACTTAGAGACCATATTAGTGATTCTTTACCTCCTAGTAGAATGACAAAAAAAAATATATATGTATTTCAACTGATACATATAAATAAGCATTCTTTTATGGCAAACAAGATAAGGTCATAAGTTAACATATGAATGACATATTATTACAAAAAAAGGCTTTTAAAGAGAATAGAGTTAAGTGATACTAAGAAAATTCAAAATTGAAATGGGAACAATTGGGCATAAGGAAAGAGACATAAAATAGCTCACTGACTGAACAGAGAAGCCAAAGGTACAGAATGTCTCAATTCAAGTTAAAACACACCTTACTGTACCTTTGTGATCATCATTTAGCCATTTAGGCCTTTTCATTTCTGCAATCACAGAATCTCTGTATAGACATTTTATATATCCATATATCCAAACCTATATCTATTCCTATACCTATACGTATCCTATATAATAAAATGCTAATATGCAAATGGACCAAATGGCAGAATGACTGGTCGCTATGATGTGCATTGGGGAAGACACTCAAGCAGGAGCTGCCCCCTGGTAGTCAGTGCGCTCCAACAGGGGGAGTGTTGCTCAGCTGCAAGCAGGGCTCACTGCTGGCAAGCTCAGCAATGGTGGCGGGAGCCTCTCTCACTTCCATGACAGTGCTAAAGGAGTGGGCCTAAACCATCAGTTGGATATCCCCCAAGGGCTCCCAGACTGCAAGAGGGCACAGGCGAGGCTGAGAGACACTCCCCAAGTGCATGAATTTCATGCACTGAGCCTCTAGTGCAAGAGTAGGCCTTTCTTCCCCCAGCTGCCAGCACTGACTTCCCTCTGGCACCCAGGACCCAGGCTTCCTTCACAGCATATTATATATATATATATATATATATATATATATATATATATATATACACACACACACACACACACACACACACACACACAGAGGGAGTCAGAGAGAAACAGAGAGATAGATTCAGAGACAGAGACAGACAGAGACAGATTTATTTCAGTGTCAGCAATACCAGAGGTAGAAAAAAGGCAACCAGACTTTTAGGCATGTATACTTCTAAATAGGTGATGTAATATATTCCGGATGTAGCCAAAAGTCAGATTTTAGAGAAGGATGGTAGTTACTCAATTGTAATTGCTATTCCTAAGAGGCCACTAAACAGGTGAACTAACAAAGATCTGGAAAAAAGTGGCCATGAGAAATGGATAGAAAGGAACAAATTCAAGAGTTACAGCTGAAGAAGAAATGCTAGGATCTGGAGATTGATTGGCTTGGGGATGAAAAAATGTCTTGCTCAGATTGAGGAATTCTAAACTTCCAGGTGAAAAATGTTGGCTCTCTCACTTTCTATTATACTTAGGTTATCTTGAACAACTATTTTAATATGTCAGCAAATTTTTTCCTCATTTAAAAATTGGGATAACTATATCAGTTCTGATGTAGGAATCATTATGTAAATGAAAATACTTTTCAAAGGTCAAAGTATTACATAATATAAAGGCAGATTTTAGTGATCCCCCACAGAGTTTAGAGTTTAGGGTAAGTTGCTAAGAGGAATGGGTGTGAATCACAATGAGATATCATCTCACACTTGTTAGAATGACTATTATAGAAAAAAAAAAAAGATTACAAGTGCTGGTAAGGATGTGAAGAAAAGGGAACCTGTCTGCATTGTTGATGGTATTGTAAATTGGTACAGCCACTATGAAAAACAGTATGGAGATTCCTAAATAATCTCAAAGAGATATCTTAACTCCCCTGTTCATTGCAGCAATATTTATAGCCAAGCTACGGAAACAATATAAGTGTCCATTGAGGGATGAAGGGATAAGGAAACAGTAGTATATGTAATGAAATATTATTCAGTTATAAAAAAGTAAATTCTTCCCTTTATGACAATATGAATGAATTTTGAGGGTATTATACCAAGTGAAATTTCAGGTAAAAAAAGAAGAAAATAATAAATACTGTATGTTCTCACTTACATGTATAATAATAATAATAAAATCAACTCATACAAATAGATAATAGATTGGTGGTTACCAGGGGCATTGGGAGGATGTATAAAGATGGTCAATGCTTACAAATTTCTAGTTACAAGATGATTAGATTTGGGAGATCTAAGCTATAACCTGGTGACTATCATATATAAAAAGAGCTAATATGCTAATTAGACCAAACAGCCGAACAACCTTCCGGGGCATCATTACAAATTACCTTCTGGATGAAGCCAGGCCTGCGAGGGGCTATGAGGACTGGCTGAGGCTGTGAGGGTAGAGCCAAGGCAGCTAGGGCCAAGCCTCTTGCATGAATTTTGTGCATCAGGCCTCTAGTAGTTAACAATAATGTACTATATATTTGTAAGTTGCTAAGAGAGTAGATCTAAAATTTCTCACCATACACACATACACACACACACACACACACACACACACACAAATGATAACTATCTGAGGTGATAGAAATGTTCACTAACCTGACTATGATACTCACCTTGCAACATATATGTATACCAAATCTGTACATTGCATACCTTATATCATGTCAATATGTTAATTATGTATCAATAAAACTTGAAAAAGACATAGATAAAAAACACTTCACTCAAAGACAATGACAAAGAAAGGAAGAAAGGTAGATTCATATAAAGAAGTAGACTAAAAGAGAAAATGAGAACCAGGGACATAAGATACCAGGCATACCTAGCTGCTAGTCCCAGCTTGGAAACAGATTTACCCAGGAAATTTTGTCCTTGGGTCCTCTTTCTAGTTCTGATTATGTTTAAGAAGGGGAACAGGGTTGATGAGAGTAGGTCTAGCCAATTTCTTTCAGTTCCTTCTCATTTTTTTCCTGAAAGTATACTACTACTAATTACACTAGAATCTGCTAAGTAGATCAAATTTTGTTGCTCTTTTAACTTACCAAGGCGCATTACATTTTTTAAAAATAATGGTAGAACTTTAAGAAATATAGCGTACAGAAATACAAATGATTTTACAAGTGTTGGTGAAGATGTGGAGCAATGGAAACTCTCATTCATTGCAGGTGGATATGCAAAAGTGTACAGCTACCTTGCAAAAAATACTTTGGCAGTTTCTTATAAGGTTAAACATAAACTTACCATGATATAACAATCCCACTAATCTTCATAGTGGAAAAACTGCACCTTAGTGGAGCCCAAACAGGAAGCTATCCTTTCATATCTTGCCCAGCAGAAGCAAAGATCAGATTTCCCTAATGAGGTTTGGCAGTGATATGAGCCTCCACTCCCACCCAAAAGTGCCAGGTGGGACTAGTCAACCACAAATTCAATGATCCATGAAATATTCTTTAGGAATGAAGGTGAAATAAAGACAGTCTCAAACAAAAGAAAACTAAGAACCTGTTTTTCCAAATTATCATTAAAGAGTGTTTTTTAGGAAGATGTATAGATAGAAAGAAATTGTGATAGAAGGTTTAGAACTTTAGAAAGAAAAGAACAGCAGAATGGGTAAATATGGTAGGCTGTCTTTTTTCTCATGAGATTCTGAAATAATTTTTTTCTTTAGCCTGTTGATACAGTAGATTATATGAATAGCTTTTTAATGTGAAGAAGCTTTGTATATCTAGATTAAATCTAACTTGTTCATGGAATACAATTATTCTTATACATTGGTAGCTACAATTTTGTGGAAGGTTTCTGTGTCTAGGGTCATTTGAGGTATTGGTCTGTAGTATTTTGTTGTTGTTTTTTACTCTCTTCACCTGGTTTTGTTATTAGTGAACTATAAAAGTAAATGGAAATCAAAATACAACAGATCAAAACTTGTGGGATGCAGCTGAAGTTGTACTGAGACAGAAATTTACAAAACTAAATTTTTATAGTAAAGATCTTAAAACAATAATTTAACTTCCTACCTCATGAAATTAGGGGGAAAAAAAGGAAAGCAAAATAAACCTAGAACAAACAGAAAACATAAAGATGATTGGCAAAATCAATGAAATTTAAAAAGAAGGAATAGCTGAAACTGGTTTGGCTCAGTGGTAGAGCGTCGGCCTGCGGACTGAAAGGTCCCAGGTTCGATTCTGGTCAAGGGCATGTACCTTAGTTGGGGGCGCATCCTCAGTGGGGGGTGTGCAAGAGGAAGTTGATCGATGTTTCTCTCTCATCTACGTTTCTAACTCTATCTTCCTTCCTCTCTGTACAAAATCAATAAAATATATTTAAAAAAATAAAAAATAAAAATAAAAATAAAAACCAAGGAAATTTAAAAAAAAATCTGATGAACAATATTAACTGTTGAATATAATAGAATCAGAGGTATGGAAGGGGAGTGCACTGACGATTCTTGGGGAAAAGAGGAGAGGGGGATGTGGGAAGAGACTGAACATAAACTGTGCACCTATGGATGAGGACAATGGGGGGTGGGGAAAGGGCAGAGGGTGGGGTGGGAACCTGGTGGAGGAGAGCAATGGAGGGGGGGGGAAAGAAAAATTTGTAATAATATGAACAATAAAAATTTAGAAAAAAAAAAAAAAAGGTGAAAAATCTTTG